TACCACTTTCCCCATTTAACAGAGAAAGAAAAAGGCACAGAAACCTTACCTAAACTCTCCCAAAGTCATAAAGCTATCAAGTGACAATGCTGAGATTCAAACTCAGGCTATAAAGTTGGTACCCTTAATTACTGTATCATTCTCTCTACATGATGTAGTGGAAACAGCTCTTTGAAATCAGATAAAATTGCCTGAATCCCCCTCTCTTCTGTTATATCAACTATTTATTTAACTTCTCAGAACCTCTGTACACTCACTTGTAGAATAGAAGGGCACCATACATAGTTAAGGAATAGAGAGATTATATATTGGACTATATTATAGGCTTTAGCTTATGAAACCTACAATAATGGTTCTCACTACCCTTCCCATCATAGGTGCAAAGACTAATTAAAAAGTCGAGCTAATAATTCATAAACACATAGCAGAAACACTGGAATAGGCCTACCTTTTAATTAACTAGCTAAAGCGCACCCAAACCAACTTGACAAGATACTTATAAATATAAACTTTAAGAATAGCAATAACTTGCCGAAACAGGTTTGGCTCAGTGGTAGAGCATCGGCCTGAGGACTGAAAGGTTCCGGGTTCGATTCTGGAAAAGGGCACGTACCTGGTTGTGGGCACATCCCCAGTAGGGGGTGTGCAAGAGGCAGCTGGTCGATGTTTCTCATCGACGTTTCTATTATAACTCTCTATCCCTCTCAATTCCTCTCTGTGTAGAATCAATAAAATATATTAAAAAAAATAGCAATAACTCAAAAAGAAATTTTTCACATAATAAAACTTAAACTTTTAATCAGTAGAAACAAGAGTTTTCAATCTAAATTTAAAGTATAGCTAAACTTAAATTAGATTAAAAACCCCCCACAAAAAACAAGGAAAACTTATTCCACATAAATAGACCCACAGCTCAGAAAAGCATACTAAAATTTTGTTTATGCGGGTGATTCTTTAGCCTGATGTTTGGTTAATATAAGGCAAAATAGTTTTATCATGGAAACAAAGGTAGCCCTAGCTGGTTTGGCTCAGCAAATAGAGCAATGGCCTTCGAACTGAAGGGTCCTTGGATTCCATTCCAGTTAAGGGCATATATTGTACCTAGGTTGCAGGCTTGATCTCCAGTAGGATGCATGCAGGAGGCAGCTGATCAATGATTCTCTCTCATCATTGATGTTTCTTTCTCTCTCTCCCCCTGTCCCTTCCTCTCCGATATAAATTTAAAAATATGTATTTAAAAAAATAAAAGGTAAATTTAATTAGTATGTTAAAAAAATCAACTTGAAGGACAGCTATGTGCCAAAACCGGTTTGGCTCAGTGGATAGAGCATTGGCCTGCGGACTGAAAGGTCCCAGGTTCGATTCAGGTCAAGGGCATGTACCTTGGTTGCGGGCACATCCCCATTGGGGGGTGTGCAAGGGGCGACTGGTCGATGTTTCTCACTCATCGATGTTTCTAACTATCTCTCTCTCTCCCTCTCTCTGTAATAAATTTATAAAATATATTAAAAAAAAAAAAAAGAAAGACAGCTATGTTGTTAACCTTGAATATTTTTGTGTTTATTTGTTATACGACCAAGTTCTTTGATGGCAGGAGATGTTTTAGGTCATCTGATATTCCTAGCACCCAGCATGCTGATACTGGCACCATACATAATTCAGCCTCTTGCAGTTCTTTTTTTTTAATTTACTGGAATTACATTTGCTAATTACTGTAGAGGGCCCCGGAGAATGCACTTGGATGACCTTTAATTATCATCAGCTGAACTCAAGGGGTAGGCTAAGCCACGCCCTGGGAACATGTTTCCCCAAAATGTCAGAGACTGTAATCAGTACAGATTTATCTTTATCCATGTGCTTGGTATGAGGAACGAATAGGACCTTGACTTACCCAGGTCTTGATATGCTAAATCCCAGGAATGAGGGAATGAATAGGACCTGGGCACACCCAAAACTCTTTTGATTCTAAACTTTTCAGGGAAACCTCCCTTTATTCTTTTGGAAATAAATGCGCAATGGTGGGTGGTAACTGTCTCTCCATCAGTGACAGCCCCCGACCCGGGTCCCAGATTGAATCTATTTCTGCCTCCGGGTCTCTTTTTCTTCTTTAATTTCTTTAAAAAAAAATATATTTTATTGATTTTTAAAAAATTGATTATGGCCTTCTTTAATTTCTTAATCCCCAGTTCCTCCACTCAGGAACCTGTCGTTTACCGCGCGGGTAGCAGAAAACGGAGAAACAGCCCCCCACAAATTACATAGGTTAAAGGCGTACAATTCTATAACAAACCCTCTGCATATTGCACTGTGTTCACCACCTCAAGTCATGTGCCTCTGTATTTCTTAAAAAGGAGAATAATTGACATGTTCTGTCTAAATAATGAAAAATAGCCCTGTCTGGTTAGTGCATCATTCAGATACAGCAAGGTTGTGGGTTCCATACCAAGTCAGCGAACATACAAGCATCAACCAATGAATGCACAATTACTAGTAAGTGAAACAACAAATGGATCTCTCTTTCTCTCTCTCTCTTAAATATATATATATAATATCAAGAGAGAGAGAGAGAAAGAGAAGAAAAGAGCCCTAGATATTTTGGTTCAATGCATAGAGAGCATTAGTCTTCGGACTAAAGGGTCCCGGGTTTGATTCAGGTCAAGAGCACATGCCAGGGTTGTGGGCTCCATCCCCAGTGGGGGAGAAAGGCATGCTGGAGGTAGTCAGTCAGTGATTCTCTCTCATCATTGATGTTTCTCTCTTCACCCCCCTCCCCCACTTCTTCCTCTCTGGGGGAAAAAAAGCAACAAAAAAATGAAAAAGTAAATAAAAAAATAATTTGCCCAAAAGATCAATCAAAGGCTGATTATTTGCTTTAGTAAAGGAAAATAACTATTAGAATCCTTTAAATATATCTGCCTAATTCAGTGGTCGGCAAACTCATTAGTTAACAGAGGGGCAAACCGACCACTGGCCTAGTTTATTTGAAATCACCTATAGAAACCCAATTTACCTAACAATAGCAATATTTTACCTCTTTAGTGAAGATATACTTTTGGACAAAAAATGTTTAGCTCTGCTTATTGTACTATTATTCAAGTTTAACTATAGTCACTTTTGTTTTGAGCAGACTTCAGTGGGAAATAAAATTCAGAATTTGATTAATAGTCATTTATAATGTAGTATTATCTATGCACCACATAGAATTTTTTTACCATCCATTTGAAAAACCATATATACACACACACCAAAATTTATCTTTTCTATGGACTACTTTTCCAGCCGATCCTTTAAAATTTTGTGTGTTCTCATCTTTCCAACAGCTTAGGTTTAAATACCTACTAGCTGGATGAGTCGGGCTTTTCCCCCTCAAGTAAAAAAATGAGGGGTATAACAATATTTACCTCATAGGAATAATAAATTAACAAATGTAAAGCACTTCAAGGAATAGTCCCTGGCACATTAGAGTTATCACTGTTATTAAGTGTATACACTTTAATAATAAAACAAATGCAGTCTGCTGAAGTCTGATTCAGAACTGTTTTATCTTTAGCTGAGCATTTGAAAATGAATTTGTAAGTAGCAATGTGCCCCAGACCTCTTACTATTCCAAACTTATTAAAATCGTTGAATGTGCCCCCTCCTTAGCTAAGCTTAATAACCTGAAAAAATTACAATAAGGTGGCATTTAAGTTTATGGGTCAGTAAGCAACAATGACAAAAAAAAAAAAAAAAAAAATCCAAACAGACTTGTAATTTCTACAAAGCACTTTAAATGTTTTTCTTTTTTTTTGTAAAAACACCAAAATAAGAACAAAATATCCTAAAACGTAAGCTGACAAAAATGTTTGTGTTGAAAGAATGTAGGAAGATAAATTGACATTGACTCTCTTGGGGAAAATGACAGTTTAACTATTAATTCCAAAGTTCTCATTCACATGAGCATTTTATTATAGTTTACAGATTACAATTTGAAACTCAAGCACCTTCCCAAACACTTAAGTTAACTGTGTCTGGTATACATTCTCTGCCTTTTTGTTTTCAGTTATATTTCTGAATCTTATAGTTAAAAAAAAAAAAAAGCTAACAAAAAGACAGGCTTTTTTTAAAAAGGACACAACAATCAGACGCTCAAGTGTGTTTTCACTTGTCTTACACTAATGAACGACCCAAACTTAACAGCACTCAGATTCCCTTTCAAATATTACACATAAAAGACCTGAGAAAAAGCCATCAGTCCACCAAATTACAAACCTAAGTGTTTTGAAGAATGCCTGTCACTTTACTTCTGTAAGGGATTTACACAGGAAAGTGACTTGTTACTAAACTAAAACGTGAACCACCCAATGAACTCCGTTTTTCCCCGGAGCAATAAATATCAGAGAGCAAGTTATTTAAACAAATATGACAAACCGAGCTCAGTGCACCAAGTTGGATAAAATTAACACCACAGAATAATTTCAAAACTATAAGCAATTACAACAAACCGACCCCGCACCCACTCTTACGTAAACTTTCGAAGTAAGTAAACTTCTTTGGCCTCACCTTTGTTTTCACCAACCAAGGCCTTTTCAAGATAAGACACCAATGACAAGAAAAGCAAAAGATCAAAAGATTAAGTTGTCCCCGGAGGAGGAACAATTAAAAATTTAAGACGACTTAACGTATTTTAAGTTACCGAAGCTCAAGGCACTTCCCCAAGCTACAGCCATTTTAGATTCACAGTTTCTTTTGAATTTCACCGGGGGTGTGTGTGTGTATGAGCGTTAGAGGTAGATTTAAATTAAAACAGAAACAAAACAAACATCTTCATCGTACTTCAAGATCTACCAGGTTTTTTCCGAGGGTCGTGTTGGTAGGTGCTAAACCAACGAAAACACCTCGCTACCAAAGGAGAACCAGAACGGTGGGGGTTAAAGGTTTGTCCCCCCTCAGACACACCACATTTGACTAACACGATTATTTCCTCATTATTTTCCTTCGTTGGGGTGGGGGTGGGGGTGAAGCCCTTTGGCTCTAATCTAGGCAGAAAAAGAAACCCGTAAACCAAGTCACTCAACCGCCAGGCGGAAACGCCTGGAGAGGAGCCAGAGAGCCGCAGGTGAGCGTTCCGACCCGCAGACCAAAGTTGAAGCGGGCGCCCCTCCGGCAGCGCCGCCGCGACGCTCGCGTCCGAAGCCCGCGCGCGGGAGGGAGAGGTGTCTGGTGAGGACCACACGACCCGCGGGGCTCCGCTCCGCTCCCCTTCCCCGGGCCCACCTACGCCCACCCAACCACCTGTGTGAGAGTCTCCTCCAACTTGTTTCCACAGACGGCCGGCCAGGCACCGGGTGGAGTCCCGCGCCGGGGAAAACCTAGACACCCCCTCCCCCCCATCCCCTCACGGCCCCGCAGTCGGGGACTCTTACTCACCGGGCAGCGGCCGGGCTGCAGCTTGGCACCAGACGCGGTGTCTGAGGACGCGTCCTCGGCTTCCTGATCCCGCAGAGCTGGAGGAGCCCACAACCATAACAAAGCTCTTCCCAAAATGGCTGCCCGGCCCACACTGCCGAGGAGGGGCACGGCGGGTGGAGGGGGAGGAGCGATGAGCAGCCCAGCCCGCCCCCATTCAACACCGCCTCTCACACCCGCCCACTCCCAACGCCCACTGGGACGCGCGCGCACGACGCGCAGCACGCGCACGCGCCCTGTTCCGGTGACCCTGCCGCCCGCCGCAAACGTTCGGGGCACGTGAGCGGCGGTTATTTCCCTGCCCCACCCCCAGCTCCCTCCGCCTCCATGAGAGGCGGGGCCGGCAAACTTCGGTGCTCCCTTCACCCTTCCGGCCCAACCCTGGGGGTCTGGACGCGTGTCAATGAGTGTGGGGGCGAGGGGGAGGGTGGGGTGTGTATATGTGTACCCACTTTTTCCTGCTCCTTCGTTCCTTACCCTCCCACACCCCGTCCCCAAATTACCTCTACGAGAACTGGCAAACCGGTTTCGTAGGAGCATGCGTTTGCCGACCCTTCCCCACCTTCCGCTCCTTCACGAGCGCGGGTCGTTAAGACTCCAGCCCCCAGCGGGCCACGCGACCGACCGCGCTCCGGGGTCAGCGCTCGGACGCGCGACGCGCTACCAGTCGGGAGCGGTAGTTCCGCCTGACGCTGGCGTCACGCCCCTAACGAGCACCGTGCGGATCTCTGGCCTCTGACCCGCGGAGAAGCCGCACTCTAAAGTCTCCTGGGTATTGCACGACGGGAAGGGGCGGCGCTGCTTAGACACACAAAGGAGGAAATAAAAGCGAAAGCCTCTCGCGACTAGAAGCGCTTACAATTTCGAAGAATTTGCTGTGAGCCCATCCAACCCTGGAAGCTAAACCACATGATTTAGCTGGGCTATCCAGAACCCAGAGGGATGGAGAAGATGGCCAGCGTGGGCCTCTTGAGCTGTCCTCTTACTTGTCGTAAGAAGACCACTCAAATTGCTTGGTGCTGTTCCTTTTTTTTAATTTTTATTATTATTATTTTTTATCAGATTGTAAAATGGAGGCCCAGAGAAGGAAACGAACTCGTCCAAGGTCGCATAACCGACAAAAATGAAAGCCAAGGGTGACAGGATGAATGATCTTTTTGAATCACCCCCAAAGCTCTTAGCACACCTTTCATGAGCATGAAAATCCTTCCCCTTGTGCTCTTAAAAAATATTATTTGAGAGTATCACAGATGTCCATTTCCCCTTTCTGTCCCCTACATCTAGTCCCAGCCCCACCTGGGCCTTCCTCAAACTGTATGTCCATGGGTTATGCATATATGTTCTTTGGTTAATCTTTTCCCCTCCCCTCACAGGTCCTCCCCTTCTTTCCTTTCTTTAAAAAATATTTTTATTGACTTGAGAGAGAGAGAGGCATCCATGAGAGAGAAAAATGTATCAGTTGCCACCTGCACGCCCCACCACGGGATTGAACCCACAGCAGTGACCTGATTTATGGTCCCACGCTCTACCTTTGAGCCACACCAGTCGGACTCCCCTTACTTTTTAATGAAGTTTCCAGGCCCTAGCAAAGAGAAAGGAGTAAAAAGGTTTTTTTCTTCTTCACACATTGGTGTCCCATACAAAACTGGAATTCTGTTAATATGGAAGACAGAGAACCGGATATTGGATAGGCAACGAACGAACACTATGTACCATGTTTACTTTTGCTCATTAGGATCCTAAATCGCAGTGAGATATGCCCCGTAAATCTGAGAAACCCTGTTGTTACGCACGCTAAAAGATGAGCAATTTGGCCAACTCACACTTAGTCTAGACTCCAAATCTCTCCTACTTTCTTCCACCATCACTCTAAGATTGTTTCAGTTGTTGCAAGACTGAAGACTCTACCTTCCGAACTGCCTATGAAACCTGGAATAGAGGGGCAAGGATCCTTCAGGTACCCTACAGACGTCAAAAAGCTGAATTTCACTAAATTAAGACAATGACCCAAGAAGGAAAGGAAAACCGAAAGTAGGAACCACTTAGCGCTGCTCATGATCCCACCCGGACTCATTTTTTTCCAGTTGACAGGAAGTGGAGGACTATCTAACCCCACTTACCGGAAGTACCTTTTCAGGAGCACTTTGCTGTTCTTGAAGCTCAGCTTTCCATCTCTCCGCGCGACACTGGCAAGTGAGTAGTAGGGCTGCTGCCAGAAATGCAGGTTGGAAATGCAGGTTGGGGACAATAGATGTTAGCAGTAAACCAGAGCTACGGACATTGTCGGGGCAAGTTTACCGAGGATCCGAGAGTTCAGACTCCATCCCCTTTTCTCAGACGTAGGCTCTGAGGCTTGCAGTTTACAACTGTTTCTTTTGGGGCAGTGGAGATACTGAGAGTTTTGCTTGAATTGAAGCGGATTAACCCTTGGGTTTGTTCTTCGTTTCCTAACCGATTGGCCGTCTTCGGGTTTTAGGCTATCATTTATTCGCTTTAATTCGCGAGTTGGAAAGCACATATATCACAGTGCATAGAGATCTCGTTCCAATGGTGAAGAGAGCGCTGAGATTTTAAGTGGGGTGGTCCAGAAGGCCCTTAAGCAGGTGATTTTGCATAAAAGTGATTGTGTGGGCCGAAACCAGTTTGGCTCAGTGGATGGAGCGTCAGCCTGTGGACTGAAAGGTCCCGGGTTCGGTTCTGGTCAAGGGCATGTACCTTGGTTGTGGGCGCATCCCCAGTGGGGGCTGTGCAAGAGGCAGCTGATCGATGTTTCTCTCTCATCGATGTTTCTAACTTTCTATTCCTCTCTCTCCCTCTCTGTAAAAAATCAATTTTATATATATATATATATATTTATTTATTTTTTTTTTTAAGTGATTGTGTGGGTCCTGCAAATAAATGTGTCTGGGAGTTACGAGGTGTATGTGGTGGGTGTCATTATAAGATATACTCAGAGGCTCAGGATAACTTAACTCACTATTTTCTTCCTATTCTATAGGATGACATTGACCAGAATACAGGAATTTTCAGATTTGTGATCAAGAAATTAGTTCATTGCCTTGGTTAGAGCGTCTTTCCCATAGCCAAGGTTGCGGGTTCCATCCCAAGTCAGGGCACATAGAAGAATAAACCAAGAATGAATAAGTGGAACAACAAATCAATGTCTCTCTCCCTTCCTCTCTCTCTAAAAATCAATAACTAAAAACCCCCACACAAAGTAAGTAAATAAGTAGTTCATTAAACTTCTTAATGGAGAGGCAACTGTGGGTTTGGGAATTTTTTTTTTTTTTGGGGGGGGGGGTTAAACTCCTCATTCTCCTGGTAAGAGTGGGACTCACACACACACAAGAAAATAAACAAAACAAAAAAAACAACAGGGGAAAAAGAACTAAGAATGGGACTCACAAAAGGCATATGGATTCATATTCTCAGTCACTTTACTGGCTACTTATGTAGATAATAATAAATCAGTAATAAAAGCAATAAAAATAATGAGGAAATAAGAATTAAAAATGTTAATATATATATATATATATATATATATATTTTAATGTATTTTTATTGATTTTAGAGAGGAGAGGAGAGGTAGAGATAGAAACATCAATGATGAGAGAGAATCATTGATTTGCTGCCTCCTGCATGCCCCCTACTGGAAATTGAGCCCGAAACCCAACCACGTACCCTTGATGGGAATGGAACTTGAGACCATTCATTCAGTTCAAAGGCTGATGCTCTAGCCACTGAACCAAACCAACTAGGGCAAAAAAAAATTTTTTGTTAATCCTCGCAATAGATATTTTTCCATTGATTTTTAGAGAGAGTAGAAGGGAGGGGGAGAGAAAGAGGGAAACATCAGTGTGAAAGAGACACATCAGCTGGTTGCCTCCAGCACTCACCTGGACCAGACCAAGCCTGCAACCCAGGTATGTGCCCTTGACCAGAATTGAACCCGGGACCCTTCAGTCTGCAGGCTGATGCTCTATCCACTGAGCCAAACCAGCTAAGGCAGCAGATATTTTTTGAGTGCTTTCTTTGTGTTGGGGACAGTTCTTAGTTCTTTACATGTATTAAATGATTAAAATTTTACAGCGATTCTGTTTAGTTATTATAATCCTTATCTTCATAGGTGAATGAATTGCATCTTAGCAAGATTAAATGCTTGCCTGAAGTCTCAGCTAGTAAGTGGTGGAGCAAGGATTCTAACATAGATTGTTTGACTCCAAAGTTTGTGCCCTAGCCTACCAAGTTATACAGTCTCTCAGCACCAAGTTGATGAGGTTTTTTGTAATTAGTTTTTGTATATCAAACACATTGTCTGGTTCACAGCTGAATTGTATTATCATTATTATTTTGAGCTATAAACTACTAAGTCCCAAAATAAATAAGGGGGGGGTGGAAAGAATAGGGATGCTATGACCTTCAGTTTTAAAAATAAGAAATTGCCACTTCAAGGAAGCAGTTTATCTAAGGACACACAGCTAGGAAATGGTTATCTGTAAAATCCAGATCTCTGTGCATTAATATTTTCAGAGAAGGAAAGGATCTATTAACATGTTACTGATTTTTAGAAAATGTTAATGTTTTCAAAGGAAACTGTTATATATAAGAAATTTTCAAGTTACTTTAAAATATATATATTTTATTGAGTTTTTACAGAGAGGAAGAGAGAGAGGGATAGAAAGCTAGAAACATTGATGAGAGAGAAATATCGATCAGCTGCCTTTTGCACACCCCCTACTGGGGATGTGCCCGCAACTAAGGTACATGCCCTTGACCGGAATTGAACCTGGGACTTTTCAGTCCACAGGCTGATGCTCTATCTAATGAGCCAAACTGGTTTCGGCTCAAGTTACTTTATTATTTTAAAAAATATATTTTTATTGATTCAGAGATGAAGAGAGAGAAACATCAATGATGAGACTCATCAATTGGCTTCCTCCTGCATGCCCCCCACTGGGAATTGAGCCTGTAACCAGGGCATGTACCCTGATTAAGAATGAAACTGTGACCTCCTGATTCATAGGTCAAAATTTAATCACTGAGCCATGCTAGCCAGGCAATTCTCAAGTTAGATTAAGAAAATTATGTATAGCCGAAACCGGTTTGGCTCAGTGGTAGAGCGTCGGTCTGTGGACTGAAAGGTCCCAGGTTCGATTCCGGTCAAGGGCATGTACATTGGTTGCGGGCACATCCCCAGTAGGGGGTGTGCAGTAGGCAGCTGGTTGATGATTCTCTCTCATCGATGTGTCTAGCTCTCTATCCCTCTCCCTTCCTCTCTGTAAAAAATCAATAAAATATATTTAAAAAAAAAAAAAGAAAAAAGAAAAAAAGAAAATTATGTATAAAATGAATAAAATTAAGTGACAGCTATTTGTGTTTTTTTTTTTGACATCTTATTTTGCACACAGCAACATGCTCTGATTCAGCGTGTCCACTTATGATAGCTATAAAAATACATTCATCAGAACTGCCTGGCATCTTCCTGAGCAAGATTTCATTAGGTTTCAGTATGCTTCACTTCATCCAGAAGTTTTCTCAAGCATCTTCAAAGGTTGGTTTATTTAGCAAATATTTGAGCACTACTTGCCAGGCATGGTTTGGCTGGGCAATAGCAGTGAAAAGGAAGACAAAAAGATCCTTTCCTGATATTTGGGTATGTGTATGTGAAGGGAATGCGGATTGTCAAAAATAGACTTATGCAGGGGAGGGTGTGGGAGACGGGGAAGATCAACCAAAGGACTTGTATGCATGCATATAAGCATAGCCAATAGACACAGACACTAGGGGGGGTGAGGTATGAACTGGGAGGTGGAAGGGGCAATGAGGGGATAAGGACCCATATGTAATACCTTAATAATTACTAAAAAACAAATAAAAAATAGACTTACAATTGCACTTTATATAAATGGGGTGGTCAGAAATTAGGGAATGGGCCATGCAGGTAGCTCAGAGAAGAACATTCTAGACTAAAGAAAAAAAGAGGTCCCAAGATGGAATCATTTCTAGCATTTTGAGGAATCACCAAGATTCTTTTTTTTTTTTTTAAATATATTTTATTGATTTTTCACAGAGAGGAAGGAAGAGGGATAGAGAGCTAGACACATCGATGAGAGAGAATCATCGACCAGCTGCCTACTGCACACCCCCTACTGGGGATGTGCCTGCAACCAATGTACATGCCCTTGACCGGAATCGAACCTGGGACCTTTCAGTCCGCAGATCAATGCTCTATCCACTGAGCTAAACCGGTTTCGGCAGGAATCACCAAGATTCTTAAATAACTTTCATTTTTGCTTTCATCTAACTCTTCTCGAGTTAGTTGTAATCTATTTACTAGTTGAAGTCTGGAATCTGCTTACTAAAGCATAGAATCAGCAGAGAAGTTTATTTGGTCACATAACATGAAAGACACAGATTTTTTTTAAGGCAAAGAAAAAAATATGCTCCTGGTTCTCAAGTCTACTCCCAATTTTAATTCACTGCATTATTATACATGGTAGTACACATAGGGTACTTACTTATAGGATTGGAGGAAGTTTTTTTTTTTTGTTTTGTTTTTAATATATTGCCGAAACCGGTTTGACTCAGTGAATAGAGTATCGGCCTGTGGACTGAAAGGTCTGGGTTTGATTCAGGTCAAGGGCATGTACCTTGGTTGAGGGCACATTCCCAGTAGTGGGTGTGCAACAGGCAGTTGATCAATGATTCTCTCTCATCAATGTTTCTTACTCTGTCCCTCTCTCTTCCTCTCTGTAAAAAATCAATAAAATATATATATATATGAACAAAAGTAACACTACTTTTAAAAAATAAAATAAAAAATATATTATTGATTTCAGAGAGGAAGGGAGTGGAAGAAAGAAACAGAAACATCAATGATGAGAGAGAATCATTGATTGGCTGCCTCTTGAAGCCCCACACTGGGGACTGAGCCCACAACCCAGGCTTTGTGCCCTTGGCCAGAATCAAACCTGGGACCCTTCAGTCAGCAGGCCGAGGCTTTGTCCACTAAGCCAAACCAGCCAGGGCAGATTAGAGAAAGTTTTAAGCTGAATTTGTAAAAACAGTTCCCAAATAGAAAAGTAGTAAGCCAGAATGTTAGGCAGAGACGTGTAGAAAGGCATGGATCTATGAAAAGTATGCAGTGTCCATAAAGCTATGTTGGAAGGTACACTGCTTTCTTGTAAGTACAAGAGGCAGTTTAGAATGCCATGTACTAAATATCCAGTCTTTACCTGTTCTTCCTTGAGATATTTCCTCAGGGGATAAGATTAGGGGTAAGCCAAGACATAACGGGCTTCTATTCAGTAGTTTCTTTTGTATTGGTATAGCTGTTAATAGCCTTAGCCAGCAATAACATCACTCTATAGTCCAACCTTTCTGTAAAGCGGTTAGTTTGTTTTTATATTGTTGTGGTTTGGAATTAAGACATTTGGTGATACACGTTTTTAAAAATCTGCTTTTGTCTTCTGGTTTATTTTCTCCATGTAGATGCTGAAGCACTCTTTCACAGTTGGACTAGGAGCCAACAGAATAGAAACACTTTCTCTCAAGGCATGTCTCCAAGAGAACTTTTCACCTTTGTTTTTAAGGCCTAGGCCTTTCTCATCATTTCCAGTGTGTATGAGCAAGACACAATACTACCATACTTCCCCAAGCAGCTTTAAGAAGAAGCAGAAGGAAGAAGTGCTTCCAGCCAGGCCACCGAAAACTATCACATTCCTGCCTGACAGCCCAAAGCCAGCATTATACATCTCTCTGGCCGGACTAATCCCCTTCCTTGCTCCACCATTGATCATGGTGATGACAAAGACTTACATCCCCGCATTAGCTTTTACTCAGATGGCTTATGGAGCCAGTTACCTATCGTTCTTGGGAGGAATCAGATGGGGTTTTGTTCTGCCAGAAGGTAGTCCAGCCAAACCAGATTACCTCAATTTAGCTAGTAGTACAGCTCCTGTCCTGTTTTCATGGTTTGCCTTCCTTTCTTCTGAAAGGCTCAGTGAAGCTATAGTCACAGTAATAATAGGTTTGGGGATAGCATTACATAATGAATTTTTCCTTTTGCCAGATTATCCCAAATGGTTCAAAGCCCTGAGGATAGTAGTCACTTTGGTGGCCTTTTTATCATTTGTAATCACTTTATTACTTAAAAATATTTATCCAGAGAAAGGACCACAGAGACCTGGTCAAGTAGAATAAATATAAAACTCGGGCCGAAACTGATTTGGCTCAGAGGATAGAGCATCGGCCTGCAGACTGAAAGGTCCTGGGTTCGATTCCAGTCAAGGGCATATGCATTGGTTGCAGGCACATCCCCAGGGTGTGCAGGAGGCAGTTGGTCAATGTTTCTCTCTCATCAATGTTTCTAGCTCTCGATCTCTCTCAATTCCTCTCTGTAAAAAAATCAATAAAATATATTTTTTAAAAACCCACAAAAGCCGAGACTGGTTTGGCTCAGTGGATAGAGTGTCGGCTTGGGGACTGAAGGGTCCCGGGTTCGGTTCCGGTCAAGGGCATGTACCTTGGTTGCGGGCATGTCCCCGGTGGGGGGTGTGCAGGAGGCAGCTGATCGATGACTCTCTCTTGTCGATGTTTCTAACTCTCTATCTCTCTCCCTTCTCTCTGTACAAAATCAATAAAAATATATATTAAAAAAAAAAAAAAACACAAAAATACTCGGTAGATGTTAGCACGATGGCTACAGCCTTGTAAGGTTGTTTTATATATCCTTTTTCTTCTACTACCGTTTAGCTCTTTGTTTCCCACTAATGGTAATTTAGTCATATTTTTTCACTTCTAAAAAAATCTATTTCATAGGAATTATATGATCAACAGCTTGAAAATCCCTAACAAATCGTTTTTCTGTTATATTAGGTTAAAGTTCTCATTTAGTCAGGAATTATTGGGGGGGGGGGAGTAAAATTAAAAGCAAAAATGAAAAAAATCCCTTTTGCTAGAGCCTAAGATCATTGAAAAACACACATACTCTCCCATTTCAAGAGGAAAACTTCAGCCCATGAATGTCTGAAAATAAGTGTTCCAGGGTAGAGTTTTCATTGCAGCTGCCCTGGGGATTGCATTCCCAAGCTCATTTTACCTGGTATAACCTAGTTATATGAGCTGAGAGGATCTGTGGCTCTAAAGTCATTTGGGAGTAGTGTCACAAGGGGAAGTCATGTTTAAAGAGAATCTGGACACTTTCCTAGTTTTTATCAGAATATTTGGCAGAGTATAGCCGTAACTTACTATCAAGTAGAACACCAGCAGATCAAAATTATTTAAATGATAAAGCTGTTAGTACATAAAATTAGGAAAAAGCAAGCTGGAGCCATCTTGATATTCTAATGAATAGGGCTATCTAATGTTACATGTTAACTCCCAGAAAGCTTTTTTAAAATAGCAAAAACATCACCTTCAGATTCTAATTTGAAAACCTTGTCTTTTGGGTTTTTTAGTCTCACAAAAAAGGAATTTATGTAAGAATATAAATAAGGAAATGATTTCACCTGGTATGTTATCTTTGTATAAGTATTCAAATATCAAATTTCATAATGTAAATTATATACATATGATTTCCGTGCTAGTGATTCTTACAGTGAAGAGATAAGAATCTAGATTGGTAGCCTGTTTATTTTCTTACATACCTGTTATGTATTGAATTGTGTGTTTAAGTCTTAATCCCCAATATTTAAGAATGTGACCATATTTGGAGGTCAGGTCTTTACAGAGGTAATAACAATTAAAATGAGGTCATAAGAGTAGGCTATAATGTAATATTACTGGAATTCTTATAATGGGAAAATTTAGAGACAACATGTATTCAGGAAGAATGTCATGTGAATGTGAAGATGGCTATCTGTATGTCCAGGAGTGAAGCCTGAAGCAGATCCCTCCCTCTAAGCCTTCAGAAAGAACTACCGTGTTTCCCTGAAAATAAGACATCCTCCGAAAATAAGACCTACTTATAGGTTTCTTTCCGGCATATAAGACGACCCCCTAATTTTACAGTTAAAACATAGGTTTAGGCCTATATTCGCTGTATAAGATTACCCCCCACTTCCGAGACAACACCAGTTCTTTTTTAAATAGACTGCCTCTCTGACTGGCCAATCCAAGCAGGCTTTTTATGCATGCAAATTATACATGTTCTGTACCCAAAGCTACACTGTGTTCTAGTAAAAAGCCTGCTCAGATTGGCCAGAGTCAGAGAAACAATCTATTAAAATCTGTATAAGACTACCCCCCACTTGCCTCGGAAGTGGGGGGTAGTCTTATACAGCAAATATAGGCCTAAACCTATGTTTTAACTGTAAAATTAGGGGGTCGTCTTATACGCCGGAAAATACGGTATAAGGTCCGAAAATAAGGTCCCCCTAGGCTAAACATGAGAGATTTGGTCCACTGATTCTGAAAGAAATGGAGTCACAAGAAATTCATCAGGAAATTCAGGAATTGGATTGTTATGATGATGTTCCAGAAGATGACGACATGATTGTCATTGAATAAATAAGTAAATTCTTGATACTGTAGGATTCAGTTTGTCTGGTTTGTGTTGACAACTACCGTACTACCGTACCGTATACAGGTAATAAATTTCCTTTATTTTCATTTAACAATAAATGTGTACCGCATTCTTCTTCATGGAAAAATAAGACATCCCCTGAAAATAAGACCTAGCGTATCTTTGGGAGCAAAAATTAATATAAGACACTGTCTTATTTTCGGGGAAACAGGGTAACTCTACCAACACCTTGAGTCCAGACTTCCGGTCTCTGAAACTATGAGACAATAAATTCTGTTGTTTAAATTTCTTTAAAAAAAAATATTTTATTGATTTTTCACAGAGAGGAAGGGAGAGGGATAAAGAGTTATAAACATCAATGAGAGAAACATTGATCAGCTGCCTCTTGTACACCCCCCACTGGGACGTGCCTGCAACCAAGGTACATGCCCTTGACCGGAATCGAACCTGGGACCCTTCAGTCCATAGGCCAACACTCTATCCACCAAGCCAAACCGGTTTTGGCTGTTGTTTAAATTTCTGTGCCCTGCTGGTGTGGCTCAATGGTTGAGCATCAACCCATGCACCAAGAGGTCACCAGGTCAATTTCTGATCAGGGCATATGATCAAGATGCGGGTTTGATCCCTAGTAGGGGACATGCAGAAGGCAACTTATCAATGTTTCTCATTCATGTTTCTATCTATCACTTTCTCTAAAATCAATAAAAACATATTTTAAAAAATTTCCTTGATACTTTGTTACAGCAGCCATAAGCAAACAAATATATTATCACAGCTAGAACTTGTTTGGATCATTGTGAAGTATACCAATTAAAGCCCTTTTCTTGATTAAGGTAGAGAACAGTTTACTTTAGCCTGATGATAAGGGAAAGAAAACTCATACTCTTGCTCTATCCGGTTTGGCTCAGTAGATAGAACATTGGCCTGCGGACTGAAGGGTCTGGGTTCGATTCTGGCTAAGGGCACGTGCCCAGGTTGCAGGCTCCATTCTCAGTAGGGGGTGTGCAGAAGGCAGTGGATCAATGAATGATTCTCTGATGTTTCTATCTCCCTTTCCCTTCCTCTCTGAAGTTAATAAAAAAATATATATACACACACACACACACATATATACATACATATATATACATATACACACACACACACACACACACACACACATATATATATATATATATATATATATATATATATATATATAAAGAGAAAACTCATACTCTTCACAAGATCATTCTCAGAAGGAAAAGCAAAACGTTGGAAGAGGAAAAATCAAAATGCTTTATTAGTGTGTGTGTGTATATATATATATATAAATATATATATATATATATATATATATATATATATATATATTAAACAATCTGTCATTACCTAGGAAACAATAAGCATATTTACAATTATCTATTTTTCAGGGATCACCTGGACCTATTAAGGCCAAACATTGTCTTGACATTACATTTCTGCCACATTAGTACATAATTACCCCCTTTCACAGTGCCATTTTAGGTTGCTAGTCAATAACGAAAATAAATTTGGGAGCATTTATAAATCTCCCTTGAAAGCAGATTCTCTTTAACTAGAAATATTAAAGGCACATGAGCTTAAATAACCTACAAATTAACTTGACATTTCATTCCTTTACATTTTACAGATCCCAATTAGGTATTTGTGACCTTTCAGACTTTCAGAGCTTTCTGTCTGCACTATATGAGCTTTTCTTTCTTTCTTTGGGAAGATTTTTAAATTGACTTTTAAAGAGAGAAAGAAACGTCAATGTGAGAGCGAAACATTGATTAATTGCCTCCTACACAACCCTACTGGGGATTGAGCCAAATCCTGGGCATATGCCCTAACTGGGAATCAAACTGGCAACCTTTTAGTGCATGGGATGATGCCCACCCAAGTGAGTCATACCGGCCAGGGCCATGAGCTTTTCTTAATACAAGCACATGGTTAAGTTATGAAGATAAGTATTCTTGTAGGCCAGTCCAAATATACTGAGTGGCCAGATTATTATGATCTCTGAACGCATAATAATCTGGCCACTCAGTGTATATCCTATATAATAATAGGCTAATATGCAAATTGTCCCATCAGGAATTCGATCAGCAGGCAGGCAGCCAACTGCCCATGTACCCTTCTCTGGCCAGGCTTGCTAGACTGCACCATGCACGAATTCAGGTACCTGGTCTCATATATACTAGAGGCCCAGTGCACGAAATTCATGCACGGGTAGGGATGTCCTTCAGCCCAGCCTGCACCCTCTTCAATCTGGGAACCATCAAGGGATGTCTGGCAGTTGGACATCCCTCTCACAATCCAGGACTGCTAGCTCCCAACTGCTTGCCTGCCTGCCTTTCTGATTGCCCCTACTTCTGCCTGCCAGCCTGATCACCCCCTAAACACTCCCCTGCCAGCCTGATGGATGCCTAACTGCTCCCCTGCCAGCCTGTTTGCCCCTAACTGCCATCCCCTGTAGGCCTGGTCCCCTCCAACTGCTCTCCATGCAGGCCTGAGTCCACCCCAACTGCCCTTCCCTGCATGCCTGGTCACCCCAACTTCCCTCTTCTGCCAGCCTGGTCCCTCCCAACTGGCCTCCCCTGCTGGCCATCTTATGGTGGCCATTTTGTGTCCACATGGGGGCAGGATCTTTGACCATTTGAGGGCAGCAATCTTGTGTGTTGGAGTGATCGTCAATCTGCATATTACTATTTTATTAGATAGGATAGAGGCCTGGTGCATGGGTGGGGGCCAGCTGGTTTGCCCTGAAGGATGTCCAGGATCAGGGTGGGGGTTCCCTTGGGGCATGAGGTGGCCTGGGTAAGGGGCCTGTGGTGGTTTGTAGGCTGGCCACGCCCCCCTAGTGACCCAAGCGGAGGCCCTGGTATCTGGGGGTTATTTATCTTCTACAATTGAAACTTTGTAGCCTGGAGTGGAGCCAAGCCTCCTGCTTGCTCCATGGCAGCAGTCATTTCAGTTGTGGGTTCTGTATCTTCTATAATTGAAACTTTGCAGCCTTTAGTGGAGGCCTGGGCAGGCCAAGGTGTGTGGAAAGCTTGACTTCCTCCATTGCTTTGGGCAACCCTAGCCTTCCACTCTTTCCAGCTCCATGGCTGCCGGCATTTCTGTTTGGATTTGTTTACCTTCTATAATTGAAACTTTGTAGCATTGAATGGAGGTCTAGGCCTACAAGGGGAGGTGGAAAGCTTGGCTTCCTTCATTGCCTGGGAAATCCAAGCCTCCCTCCTGCTCTCTGTGGCTGTAGCCATCTTAGTCGGGCTTATTTGCATATTCACTCTGATTGGCTGGTGGGCGTGGCTTGTGGGTATGATGGAGTGCTGGTTAATTTGCATATTACTCTTTTATTAGGTGAGATATACACACATATATATATATATATATATGTATGTACATAAATATATATATATACACATATACACACACACATACACACACACACTCATACTGAGTTCAGAGATTATAATAATCTGGCCACTCAATGTATTTTGGATATTAATGCTACCTGAGTCTTTAATACTTACATAAAATTTTCATTCTAAATAAGCTGTTGATACTTATAACAATATACTGAAGGACTTTAGTAAAGGAGGGGGGGATATACTAATCAATCCTGGAATCAGCTAGGTAAAAACCTAATTGTATGCAAGATCTTTCATATAAATGGCTCCAACTATTTAAGTAGAAATAACAAACGTACACAAATCTTTCTCTCAGAACTGGACAGAGAACAATTCTTTAAAATGCTTCTCAGGGGAAAAATAAGTTTTGAGAAGTAGTTTCAGATCAGAAGCTTTTCATCTTATGAGTCAGTGTCTATAAGAATTTTCACAGGTATCTAAAATTCTACCTTCTCCAAGCCAGGCAGTAGCTTTGTAGTAAACTCATAATTAGGCTTGCCCAAGTACAAGTAAGTTTTACAAAGCTAGATGATCTAATAAAATTCCATTTTCCCAAAGCCAGAT